TTTTAAATGACTAAATTGACTGAATTTTTCTGCTTCTCACCTCCACAACTGTTTTACCTTGCCGTCAAATATCTGCTTCCAACGAGGTACTTAAGCTGAATCCTGAAGTTATATCACTCTCTTCAAAGCAACAAGACTCCATTGACAAAAACAGTCATTTTACCTTGCAGAATACTGAAGTATACATACGACGGCACTTCAGTTATTTTTCAAACGTAGCACAGTTAAATCAGCTGGTCACTTTAACCTCATTGGTTAGCTTACTTTGGAAACCTACTTCATGGCTTTTTGATAACAGCTGAGTGGGATTTTCCTTTTGAGAACCGTGGAAAAGAACCCAGTTGGATTCGACCTTTACTTCCACAAGCAACATGTCTGCACTCGGCCGAAGATTGTTGAATAAACAAATTTTGCCAAATCATTTGCAGTCATCTTAATTAATCAAGCTAAACTGTATATCAGTATTATAACACGATTGAGAGTCTACAGCTATACTCTGTGAGGCTGTACTTTGAGCTAAATGCTAACATTAGCATGCTAACATGCTCAATGACAATGTTAGCATGCTACCAGTTTACCAGTTCATTTTTTTCAATGTTCTTCCTCTTAGTTCACATGTCGGCATGGAAACATTATGTAATAACTACTAAGAAAGAGTACAGCTGAGGCTGATGCGATACATGCATTTTATAAATGTACCAAATTTAATTTAAATGAAATTTGGTACATTTTTTTAATTCATGGACAACATTTGTGGTTGTGAATTATATGGATTCTATCTTAACTATTGGATATCTATCCAATAGTTAAGATAGAAACCATAGAATTTAAAACCACAAATGTCCTCATGGATTCATTTGATAAGCAGATTCAATACTGATTCTGATTAGATGAAGTGCTTTTGAACCACCGGTTCTGAAAAGTGTAGCCAAATCGGAAGTGTCTTGAACTTGTTTTCTCTCTAATGGCTAGCAGGGGGCGACTCCTTGCACGATTGTATAGAAGACAATGAGAAAATGACTCTACTTCTCTCTTGATTTATTACCTCAGTAAACATTGTAAACATAAGTTATGGTGTCAATCTCTAGTTTCAAGTATTCTTTAATACAGCATGATGTTCATTTTGTAAATTATGGTCCATTTAGAGTCAAATAGACCATAAAGAATAGGCTTTAGGGCGGGGCTACCTTGTGATTGACAAGTAGCTACCACTACCAAAGCCATATACGGCGTCTCTACAGTATGTCACTCCTCCGCAGTCCAAATATTGTTACCTTCGTTCATCGGTTGCAAAAATGCCAAGATGGTGATGGCTAATAATATAATCTGTAACAATATAATCTGTACCATAGGCACCAGGAACAGAGTGCTATGGCTGCATCTTAAAGGATTGCACCTTTTAGATGGGTGGAGGTGTGACTGTATTCAGTAGTTAGTGTGAGTCTGTGTTTGAACAGAGGGCCACTGTGATAGATGATGTAGTGCTTTAGGCTCACAAGCCTGGCCAACATTCAGTACCTCTCCTATCTTGCTCTTTCTTCAACCGTTTCTGTACCTAATTACCACCTCTATTTCCACTCTTGTTTGCTTTGCATCTTGCTCTTTTTTTTCCCCGTCTCCATTTGGCAAAATTTCACTTTATCTCACTTTATTATGGCCCACTCTGGCCTTTTATTGCCCACCAGCAGCAAACGTTGTGCAATTTGTCATTGAGGGGGTGTGGATGAGTTCTTTTGGCTGCCTCTGCCGCGCTCACCTAAAAATCTAATCAGATCAACGTAGGGCTCTAATCACTTCCTCCCTCCGCTTGATTGCATTTATAGACGTTCTGTCGCTCTGTGCTCCCCCAATCGAGCTTTTCATAATTACTCTCCTCTTATATTTGTTTATTTATATCCTTCAGTACAGTATGCCTGCCAAGCCCTCTGTCAATGAGTGAGTATGAGAAGTACATGGAGGTGGGGAGAGAAAGCGAAAGAGCCTTTGGGAAAGATCTGAACATTTTTACGGCCTTTTTGTGCTTGAAACAAGTGCTTTACTGCCTTTATATTCATAGCAGTTTATTGTGTTTATTGCTATTAAAATATAGTACCACAGCCTAAAGGCAATACTTTCGAAGCTTTAGCTTGTTGTAGTTGGTAACCAAAATGTGGCTCAGTGGCAGAGCTGGTCGTCCTTCAATCAGAGGATCAGCGGTTCGATCCCCGGCTCTGTTAGTCCATGTCGATGTGTCCTTGGGCAAGACACTTAAACCCAAATTGCTATACATGTATAATTGGGTATAAATGGTTAGATAGTTCTGATAGGCAGATGGCACCTTGTTAGCCTCTGCCATCAGTGTGTGAATGAACATGTAGTGTTCCCACGAAATGCACAAATTTGGCCAAAAGCAAATTATTTTGTTGATGACAACTCTCCCATCATCATTAGTTTGTACTGGTTTCAATGCAGAGTTTAGAAAAATCCAACCCCTGTGATCGGATGGCCAGCCGACCCAATGGCCACAAGGAGGCACTACACCATTACTGTCAATCATTCATGCGTTATTATGAATCTCACTGCTCTTCTTGGCAAGACCCACCCTGTGCAGCATTCAAGCGCTGGGAATGGCCTCTATTCTCCACGAGGTACTGGTAACCTGATTTGTTGAGGTCCAATGCCCTGACAAATGTGTTATCCTGACCCTACTTTCGAGGTAAACGCCTAACCTTAACCAATCGTCTCAACCAGCTATGCAGGATGGGTCTTGCCAAGAAGAGCAGTGGGATTCATAATAATGTATTGGAATTGGATTTAATTCCATTTTGAATTAATGACTTCCTGTCCACGCAAATTCATGAAGTGCTGCATGAAGCATGAATGGGTCGATTTTCAGCCCTAACACTTGCCCTGCGTTAAAAAAAACCTGCAAGGGGATACAGGTCAAAGGGTAATATACCAGGAACATGTGCATTTGGCCAACACAGCACCTTGTCAGATGTCATCCATTGCGTTGCGACCAAAGCTGGTCTTGATTTATTACCTCAGTAAACATTGTAAACATGAGTTTATGGTCTCAATCTCTAGTTTCAAGTCTACTTCAATACAGCATGATGTTCATTTAGTAAATTATGGTCCATTTAGAGTCAAATAGACCATAAAGCTGTTGTATGTTTTTGGGCATGGCTACCTTGTGATTGACAGGTCGCTACCACTTCCAGAGCCGTATACGGCGTCTCTACCTCACTCTTCCGCATTCCAAATATGGTCACTTCTGCTCACTGGTTGCGAAAAACAGATGGCGATTGACAAAATGCCGAACTCGAGGTTTCAAAACTAATGGGGGACGTTGCGACAACGACCTCCAATTCTTATATACATTCTATTGTTCACCCCAGCTGAATAAGGAGGCTGCTTATTTCATGCGGATCTGAAGTTGGTCTGAAAACAGCCCTCCACCAATTTAACACTGCACTCCAATGATATCTTCGGACTCGAGATTTAAAAGCCATGCAGCAGAGCTAGAGGTAATGTCTTCATTGTTCCATACATTCTTCTACCTCTTCAAAACCTGAGGCACCTATATTACCCACAATGCAATTTGTCTGCCGATAGCCATAGCCTCAACACCACTACCAGATCACAGACAGAGGGACTGACCAACCAGTATTGCCAATACCAATGCCGCCAGCTCTCACTAAAGAAATGTTTAAAATATTTGTATATTTCAGTAGCACCCTGGTGGCCTTGAGGTGAAGGCACTGACTAGGAACCACAATGTCCCAATACATGTCGCTGCCCATATCCACCTCCCTCATTTCCCCCCAAACTTTCAACTTACTTAATAATGAAAGGCATAACATATACACACACAAAAATAAATGGAGGGATGGATTAATTTGTGCTTGCTTTAAACTTCCTATTCATGTACTCTTTGTCAAAGAAGGGTTTTAAAACTGTGGGCTCCTCTTTCAGCAGTTTCCTCTTTTACGAGTTGGAAGTCGAGCCCTACCGCCTGCCCACGTCCAAACATCATTAAAAGGCAGGAATATTGAACAGCTGGAGTGGATGAAGCATCTGCCTCAGTGAACATTAACCTCATGCTGGGAGATGGTTTAGTTGCTTTCTAACCTCAGCCTGTGAGAAAATGCTGGCTTTATATCAAATTATGACAGAGTCCTCGCCTCTGTATGCCCTTCTTATTATCTCTGTCCGTGTCTACACCGAGTATAAAAATGTTCCGAACACCACCTCCTTCCATTACATTGAGTGTCTCTGTGAATCCATGGGAGAGATCTGATCCCGAATTGATTTTCCCTTTTAAATCGTCTGACATCATGTAGCAGGGAGGAAATATTTAGGTGGAAAGGACTTTTTTGACTCCCATGTTCCCACTACTCAATGTGGAGATCTGCTTTATGCCTCACTATCATAATGTTTCAAGGCGCAAACGGTCAGATCTGGCCACGTGCTCCGAACAAATAGCGGTCGGCATTTCACCTTTGCTACTGGGTTCATACGATCTAAACTATTAACTAAAAGCAGAGCGAGAATACGCATAGATCGACCAAACTGCTGAAACTTGAAAACCGGTCAAACTAACACTGCTATCTTATAATCTTCACGTGTGGCGTCGGCTTATAGTTTACATTAGCCATCCGTGTGTTAACTATGCCACTAACCAGAGGCTGTACGGTCCGTGCACGTTTACTCCATGTCCCGGAGCTGACGCAAGCTCTACTCCCTCACGAAGTAGTCTTCTGGTGGCGGGGAGTACGACACAAAAATGTCAGTCATTTTCTTGTTTCTGCCACTTTGGATTTAATCCAATAAACAAAGAATCAAAACGCACACGGAGCTGTACCTTCACCGTGATTGACATGTCCTCAGGCCAGCTCTGTAACCTCTTCACATTCTGTTGATAATGTTGGTTTATCTTTTTGAAAGTTCTAGACTAAAATGTTGGCCACATTTTACACATTGCACTTTTACATTAAGTTTTGTCTTTCTCTATGTTCCAGGTTCAACTGATCCACTACAATCATGAGCTGTACACAAATTATACAGAAGCTGCTAAAAGCCCCAATGGATTGGTCGTAGTGTCCATATTCATGAAGGTAAGGCTCATACATACATTTAATTAGCTCCTGCCTGCCAGTGTGTAGGCTGTATTCACTCAAAAGCACTCTTTTTCTTTTTCTTTTTTTGAAGCAGCTGCTATGGTGATATTTTCTAATGGGTTATAGCTTGAAAATCCAAGAAAACACTGATCCTAACATTGAACAGTCATTTTCTAAAGATTGAATTTGAGTCAACAGCTACAATGCCTGTGTAAGGAACATTATATATACAGATCCTAGGCAATTAAAGGTGGACTAAGTGTTTATTCAAATATTTTTTGTGGAGCAACACAGATATGGTCACAAACATGTCAGGCTGTAAAAACGTACGAAACAGCATTCATAGTTACACTATTAACCCTTTTAACTCAAGTGATACATTTTTTGTGTACATTTTTTGAGAACAAACAGTTGTCATACATAACCTGCTAGAATCAACACGATCCTTGTGGTGAGTTTTACAAATCATATTAAGAGAGATCTGGCCTCGTAATCATCACATTTAAACATTTTCTTTAGTATCAGAAGTAATCCATCTGTTATTGTCTGCATAGGAATTTAAAAGTAAAAAAAAAAAAAAAAAGCTCAGGTGGCTGGCTCCATGGCAACATCACACCTCAGGTTTACATGACCCGAAGTATGATGGGAAGCCGAGCGACAAAAATTCACTTTCCGGTGGAGTGAAAATGATCTGAGTATTTGCTGCCATGGACAAATGGAAGAAAAAAAAAACAATAGGTCTTTTTGACAGCAAACATTGTCCTAACAGCACTGGTATTACTAAAACATTAACAATGGCTCTGTCCCTGCTTCTCCTGTTATGACATGTGAAAAGGTCCAGTGAAGAAGATAAATGGAAATCAGATGTCATTCACTTGATGTTTACACATGCGTTTTCCTATTTTGACATGTCAAAATGTCTTTCATGAAAATGTGCACATTTTACAAATCAGTAGATTTTATTCCACAATACTCATTGATAGAATGCCAGACTCTCTCTTGCACATAGACCAAGGCACGGCCATGGAACGAGCTGGGCAGGCTCTTGTGGGTTGTATTACTCAGAAGAGTCCACCAAGTCTTTAGATAACTTAATATTGTGTGCAAAGCGTTTACTTACATGCACAGATGTACACTTTGACATTGCTTTTGTAACAGAGCTGACCAAATAGTTATTTTATAAGAAAGAAAAAGAAGTTTGGTTGCACAGGGTTAAAAGTGGTAAATAGCATGTGGTTAACGCTATGAGGCGGCCGCGGTTAATTAACTAGCACTTGGGTAACTTTGTGAAAGGATTGCGATTAATGATATACGCTTAATTAACATTGGGAAATGGTCACGGTTAATGTTGTTGTACGTGGTTAAAGTTGTTTCACATAGAACATTGTGAAACAGTTGCGGTTAAAGCTGTAATAATTGTTAACATTGGGAAACAATGTTTGGGTTAAAAAGAATGCTTGTTTAACACATTTTCACTCCCAACTTGTGAAATACCGTGGCTTGGTCAGTGGCCCCTAGCTTCTAACTCTGACTCGAGGTACCCCTCAAGCATCAGTTTGTGGACGGCGCATCTGGTTCCACTTCTTACTTGTCTTTTCAAAATGAAGTTCCGCCTTCACAGTAAGTTAGGTTTAGGCAACAGAGGTTTAGGAAAAGAGCGTGGTTAACTTGACAGACTAACGACTCACGTGACTACCGAGTGACAAAAGAGTCACGTGACTTGAGACTTACATGACAGAATATCAACATTCACTTTAAGATTCACATGGGACATGAACAGCTTTCTCTTGGATGAAAGTCCTGTGTTTGTTCGATCCACCTCCACTGCCTCCTGCCCTTAGATGAATTTCTCGCTCTTCATACTATGTCAGTTCTCTGGCCGTCTAATAGGAAAGGCGGATGGGCTTACATTGGAGTTTGTTGAAAGCCCGATGTGTCTCATAGAGATGCTAATAAGTGTCTTGTGCCTTGTGTATAATGACGGCAAGGGCTGCTGCCCAAGCATCGCTATTTGCCCTGGGAGTGAGACTAGGCTGTGTTCGTATCTAGTAGCCACATATTGGTTTAAAAAAGATCTGTCAGGAGCTAAATTACCCTTGGTGCTCCCAGCCCTCCACTCTCCTGCTCCCGCTGTGTCTTTAGCTGAAATCTTCCAAATGTTCAACTCAAGAACTCACAAACAATTAGCAATCCAATTATCCTGCAGGGAGAAACAATGTGCTCCGTGGCTCTGTGGCAGCGGTGGTGGCGGTACTCTCCTGTCTCTTTGTTGTGTATGAGAGGTCGCCATCTTTAACGAGAGGCTCAGAGATCAGAGAGGCAGCCGACGTCCTCGGCACTCTGAGTACAAAGGCTGAAAAGTTCAGCTGCTAACTGCTAATTAGATCCCCAATGTCAATGGGACCATCATTTAGTCTTGAAGAGACAGAAGAAACGCTGACCTAGGTCAACCCTTCATGACTCCACCCTCCACCCAGCAGCAGAGTGTATCCGAGGACGCGTGAGAGAGAAGCTAAGCTTTGGAAGTGGAGTGCTGCAGGTGTGCTCGGGGTACACGACAGTCTGAGCAAATCACTCTAAAACCGCAGCTCTGTTAAGCTTAGCTGCCAACGGAAAATAATATATTGTGATGATACCAAACAGAAAAATGAGTGCATCTTAAATGTGCCACACATATTATAACACAATATGATAGTGAAGTCAGGAGAATTTTTCAACGACCATGGTTTCGGAAATGAAAGTGTCCTGTTCATTTTCTGACAGTTGGGGCACGGCAAAGGCTTGAAGAGACATTAAACTCATCCAGTTGAATCATTACTACAAAATATTAGAAATGGTGAGAAAATATCCAGTTGTTTAATATAATCCCAAAAGGTACAAGCCTTTGTAAAAACTTTATCGAGAGATTTCTATTCCAACTCTCAACATCGGTGTTCCAACATCAAATCACTGAGCTTTCTTCTGTTGCCAGTGCTGCTAATGCAAGCTAAAGCTAAACATTAGCTTAGAATACCAGGCGGCATCCTCCGGTTCTGCCGAGTGAAGCCAATAAGGAAGAAGTCCGATTGTATAGAAGTCTATGAGAAAATGACTCTACTTCTCTCTTGATTTATTACCTCAGTAAACATTGTAAACATGAGTTTATGGTCTCAATCTCTAGTTTCAAGTCTTCTTCAACACAGCATGATGTTCATTTAGTAAATGATGGTCCATTTAGAGTCAAATAGACCATAAAGCGGAATATACTTTAGGACGGGCTTTGTTCCCAACTACAATAACAAAGAGTTCTGACTTTGCTTCAGCTCTGATTCAAGCCTTTGGCTGGCTTCTTCTCTATAGCTTAAGATGCTAACGGTTATTGGTACCTATGCACATATAGCCATACCAAAAGACACATGATTTCTCAGAAGCAAAGTAGAAATAATTAAAACTAATGCGCAAACATATATAGAGACTCCAGTGTTCTATGTCAGGGATAATGAGGTTATGCTTTTTACCACTTTAAATTCCAATTTAAAGGGGTAAAAAATATGGAAAGAACGTGCAGCATCTTATACTTTGCAACCCTGAGTTGTGTGTTCCAGAAGCATTTCTACCCATAATTAATTCCATTTTCAGAGTTGTCTTTTCCTGAAGATTTATTTTGCTGATAGCCTTAATGCACAGAAACACATGATTCACAGGGAAAATGTAATGGGTAAACATAGGCTTATTTTATGGCCATCAGTTTTGATTATTACAACTTTGTAACAGAAAAATTATTTTTTTCAGTTTGGCATGGAGGGTAGCAGACTTTATTTAGTCACATGCAAAACAATGTTACGCAGCAAGCGTAAACTCTATGTTTACATTTGGTTTCCCACGGGACTCGAACAGCGGTCTCCTCTTTGACTTTCTAGCTCTTTGTCATACTTTATTATATTATACCCCCTAACTTTCAATAATGCCTGGTTCATATACTATGTCACTTGCTCTTCCAAAATGCAAACAAATCCACATAAAAAATAAAAAATATATATTATTATTTATGGTTTGAAGAAACAACTTCTTGGCGACTGGGCTGCTCTCAAAGCTGACTAATTCCCCACATCTTTTTTTAGAGTATAAGCTTGTTTTTCCCGCTTTTCAGTGACTAATGCTTTCCGAGGCCTTGTCAGTTTTCCGATCCTATTGCTGTGAGTCAGAATGCCAGCAAGGGCCCCCATTGTAGACGTGGAGTCGTGAGGCACCATTAAGAGCAGCAGTGGGTGATCTCAGCTACGTGGGGGCCACAGTGGAACACAGACGCACAATAGAGAGACACGGCGGGATGGGCTTTGCAGTGAAAGCAAGGCCATTTCACTCACTTATTCACTCATTTGATCATCGATTGACGTAATGGCAAGAAATCTGTGAATCTTCAAGATGTTTCTCGTGGTCATCTTGTGTCTTATTAACATTATGGTGCTATGTCTGTACTTTTCTCACACCATTCCTGAAATAGAAGAAACTGATTGACTGAATCCCCTCAGGTGGTTTTCTAAGAAAATGAGGGAAATTAGAAATTACAAAGACAGAAGTAGGAAAACTAGTGAACAGCATGAGTGACTGGTAGAGGCAAAATGCCTGCCTGAAGAGCACAGGGAACAGGTCAAAGAATAAGTAATTTCAGTTGCAGTGCGGGGATGGGCGAGACTCTTTTTAATCACTTCGCCCAAAGACATCTTGACAATTAGAATTGTGAAGTCCACCGCGCATGAGTGAGGGAAAGATGGAGTGGAGAGGAAGGCAGAGAGGAGTCAAAAGAAGGGCGCGGGGATGGACATGAAGTGTGAGGTGCTTCCTTTAGCTATTAGCAAGCATGTCTCGGAATTGGGAGAGAGAGGTACTGAACAATGGAGTCGGTCAAGCAGTTTAAGAGTGGAGTTAGGAATTAAAAGTGTCTACAGCTTTTGGGGGCAGATAATGGGCTGCAGTTTCAGTAGATTTTCACTCAAGTCCCTGTGGTCTATGAAATCACAGAATCGTCATGGTGGCGAGGTTTGACAAGAAATGTTCAGGATCAACATCCAGGGTTGTGTCTAGATGGTATCCCGTGATTTGCGAAAACTTGCAAAAGGGCTCGCCAGAATCGCTGAAATCAAGGGTTTCCATTTAGCCTGACGACCTATCCTAACCATAACCATACAAGGTAATGCCTAACCTCAACTATCTCACAACTGTTCCACATATTGAGGGTTACCATCTAACCCGACGACCTATACTAACTTTGACCATTCCAGGTTCCTGCCAATGCAGGAAGTAGTTTGTCCTTTATGATGCGAGGTGTACAGTAAGGGTGTCAGAATGTTGGATTGGCCAGTACCAGAAAGTCAAAGTGAGTCTGACTTTCATGCAGGAGAACTGAGTTTGTGTCCCAACCTTCCCCACTGTTATCGCCATTTGTTACCACGATCTTTCCATAACCTTGACCATCAGCGTATGAATGGGTGAATGATGACAAGTAGTGTGAAAGGGCTTTGAGTGGTCGGAAAGACTGGAAAAGCTCTATAAAAGTACAGTCCATTTACCATTTACGTACAGATATTGTAGAAAGCAAGAATTTTACAAATCCAACTTCATTTTGTGATTGAATACAGTTGATTTGCATTTTAGTAGACTTACCCTAATCTTCTGGGTAAAAGCAGCCTGCAAAGTGATTTCTATTATCAATGACGGTCGATGTTTTTGATGTTTCATTAGCAGCATGTGTTTCCGAGGCAACTAATGGAAAATCCACCCAATAAACAGCTCCCAACCAATTAAACCATAGATCAGTTGGTGCGCTATTCTGCCGTTAGGCTCCTTCCATTGTCACTTCCCCCTTTTCACCAATTATCTGTGCACTTACGGTGCTGGCTCTAACAGCTTTACTGTCCTAATACCCTGCGCTGCTGTTCAAAAAGAAATGTCATCTTAATGCTTACCTGCTGTTCTTTTCAAGCGTCCATTGTTGGGGAAACTGTAAAATGTTAGTACAACTGGTTGCAAGTATGCAGAAAAGCCATTTGTACATCGATGAGCCAGATAGGGGGTTCCAAGAGTCACCGTCTAATGTAAATTTAGTTTAGCTATTCATTCTAAGAGAACTGAGAGAAATGTACCACTCCGTTGGTATATGTTTTTGCCACCAAACATAATCCAGGTTGCATCCCCATTTCCTTAAAATGTGTATTTCAAAATATTTAGGAAACAGCTGGAATACAATGGCAATATGACAACAATGATAATCTGGTCGAAAGAAAAGTAGCTGATATTGATACTATGGGCAAAATGGGGAAACACAGGACAATCTTTGACTGGGGGGAAGAAAGGGAGGCAGCTCAGCTGTGTGTTAAGGAGAAACTCCAAGACTCAAGCTGTGTAGCCAAATCTATGAGTAAAAACGTTTTTCTGGCAGTAGGAAAGACTTAAACTATAGCTGAGAGGAGTGAAAGATAACATGTTGCAGGGTCACTGGCAATGATCTTGTCACATTCAGCTCTGATAGACTAAAACTTGTTTCCAAGTTAGGACAAGAACACCGTAAATATGCTAATTATAAGAAGATTGATTCTTTTTTCGTCATGGAAGCAGTGTGTGTCTGTGAGCTGATCTTAATGGTTTCTTGAAAACAGTGGGAGCCTTTGTTTTCCAGAAGGCAAAGCAGCAGTGCAAGAGACTGTAGGAGCGTCTGGCTGTGCAAAATACATCAGTGGGTTCAGACATTTCATGGGCATCAAAGGTGATGGATTAAAAATGCACTTGCTTAAAGTACTGAACTGGGTAGATTACATTTAGTTTCATTTTAGATGAGCTCTCAATTCATGATATGATCAGACCTTTTTTTCTTTTTATTTAACCTCACCTTTTTTCTGTCTTTTCTGTCTTTTAATCCAGATTGCTGAGACATCAAACTCATTCCTGAATCGAATGCTGAACAGAGACACCATCACAAGAATAACATACAAAAGTAAGTGTCCATGTGAAGCAATTAACATCGGTACTAATTGACCTTGTCAATTCCCTAAGACTTGTCCTCTTTACTGTTGCTGGACCGTTTTCGCATGACATGGCCAAGTGTACGGAGATAACGGAGATAGATTTCCTGCTTGAAATTTATTAGAAATGTTTGAAACAATGGCTATTATATATTCAGACAGAGGTAGACAAAATAAGCTTCCCATTTCTACACTAGGACTGTCCGTTTTGTCTGCTAACTAATTAAGCTAACCTTAGCTTTGCAAGTCATTTGGAAAATGTGTAAATGTTAATGTTTCAAGCCAGCTCACTTAAAAAACCACAACCCAGCGAATGGGTCTTAAACATGGCTTGCATAAATGGCTGCATAAATGAAATGAAGCAAAAAGTCTTAAAAGACTTTTTAGGTTGAAAACTGGCCGATGTTGTTTGCTAGCTAGCTGAAATAATGAGTTTGAATCAGGGTTTTTAGCGTAAACTTCCCCATATCCAATAAAGTAGGACAGATTCGCTAACAGTAGCCTTAACTCTATTAGTAGTATCCAGGACAGGCTCCCATATTGTGAAGAAATAGCTCAACATGTAACCCAACACATGAGGACACAACTGTACTTGGAAGTAACCCTTGATTTTGTCACTACTGTAGGTAGTAAGCTAGTTAGACGGACATGCTAATGTCTGTATCTTACGTTCGAGCAGACCAACACACTGTTTAAATTACTACTGTTATGGTTAAAAGTGCTAATTGAATGAAGCAGGTCTGGGGATGGTGAACTGGGAACTCTTGACAGCTGGAGGAGGCTGTTGGCGAGGCAGCATGTGAGGCAGCGGTCGACAATTGCTCTCCAGAGGTTCCCATGCGGAGATGGCCCCGGGGCTAGCCTGAATAAAAGAGAAATAATTGGATTAATGGAGACTGAACAGTGAGTGGCTGGATAAACACACTGACCCCTTGTGGCTGGGAGGAGTCTCCAAGGTGCCGAGTGGAGCAGGAGGCTACGGGCGAGGGGAAGGCGGGGGGGTCTTCCTCAGGGTCTGGCTGGAGGAGCATGGATCCTGACAGCTGTCAAAACCCCCTCAGATACACTGTCTCACACATGCTGACTCACACACATGCACACACCGCTCTCTCATGCTTATGAAGCCTTAGGCATATCCCTCAGCCAGTGCTGCTGCCAAATTTATATATGTTTTTATTTTTTTATCACATATGTACAAAAATGCTAACACAAAGGCACATATACACCATTCAAAGAGAATTATGTATTTCAACCACATGATCAAACATCAGCAACAGAGCTCCTCTTCTCATGCGGGGAAGATCAGAGAAGATTTCTTTTAAATTTTTTTATGGGGATTTTCTCAAATCCAGCCTATCAAGCTTATTTTTTTAGATTTTTTATTGAGATTAATACTGTTTACAAGGGGCAGTATTTAACAGTGATGCAAAGCACAGCTGAATAAGCATTAAAGCCGCAGTGGTCCACCACAGTGACCTCATTATAAGAGACAGTCCATTTGTCAACAGAGGCCCAACAGATGACAAGTTACTGAGAGCGTGTTACTGGAGTGTGAAGAGGGAGAGTTGCAGTCTGTCTAATTAGCGTCCTGACAGTGGAGACAGTTTGGATAAAAGAGGTTTTGTGCTGCAACACCAACAGCCTGTCATTCACGGAACACGAAATGATATGTGAAATAAGAAGTGAGGGAAGAAATGAGTTATGAAAGATGAGCTCGTTGCTTGATGAGTAGTGGAGGGGTTGAGTTTAGAGCCCGGAAAACACGCTCATACGTTCATTTACGGGAAAATGCACAAAAGAATATATTATACACGTAGCAAAAATACAAGAACATTTTAACCACTTAAAGCTTAATGCTTCAATTTACATTAAATCAACAACGTATCAAATGACAAAAGTAAAAACAATGTGACAAAGGGGAGTTGCTTATTGTCCAGAGTCCTGAATCTGCAGCTCCCCTGTGAGTGTCAGCTCATTGATTTTCTGTCCAGCCCATGACTTTACTTCTATTTCTCTCAGGAGTTGTTGGAGACCAAAACAGAGCTTAAAAGAGAGCGAATATTGGTCAGAAACTGCTAATCTTCTAAATGCTGGATGTATTCGCCAACAAGTTTGCCATATCAATTTAAAAGTACTGCATTCAATTTTATTTATTTTTTACAATTAAAGCAATAAATTCACCAGCGCTTGCTGCATTTACCTGGAAAGCTGAGCCCCCCCCCCCCCCCTCCCGGCACTCCAATCCACAGCGGGACACTTCTCTTGGTCTTGAGGAGCTGCAGCTTTTATTTGTGCACAAACTGCAAACTCTTCTGCTAAACTTAAACTCTGCTCTGCTCCAATCACTCTCTCTCTCTCTCACTCCACCCATACCACTCTACGCACACACCAAGCAGCAACCTCCAGGTCTAAAAAAAATGAAGCCATCGTGGAAGTACCTCGTGCAGTTTTCTTAAATGGCCACCTGAGGCTGGATCCAAAAGAGAGCCAGATCATTAATCTGATAACAAAAACACTTTGTTTTTTTCCATTTTTTGTTGTTGTTTTTGTGCAACTTACGTTGGTACCAATTGAAACTACAATACAGAGTACATCCTCTGATGAAAAGGCCCCTCTTGTTTTTGTTTCCTGCCTTTCTTTCTGCAGATGACGCGTATCTACTGACCAACCTGAACATAGAGGAGATTTACCCGGAGACAAGTAGTTTTATCACATATGAGGGATCGATGACCATCCCTCCGTGCTTTGAGACCGCCACATGGATCCTGATGAACAAGCCGGTGTACCTCACACGCATGCAGGTTAGCCTCAGCCACAACACAACGCACCAGGGACCGTCTGTCTCAGCCCAGAATTCTCTCTCTTGCTATTGTTCTGCCTGTGAAACATGTCACCCCAGCACTGAGGCTTTTACTCCAACACTCTTCTTTGTCCAAGCCTCCATAGAGTCCCACCCTGGAAAACAATGCAGTGAATCAAAATGCCTGGTTCACATCTCCATGTTGCTTTGGCAAACTTTTAAAAGGCTTCTTTTCTCTCTCCCTATCTCTTGTCTTCATCTCAGATGCACTCCTTGCGGCTGCTGAGCCAGAACCAGCCGTCTCAGATCTTCCTGAGCATGAGCGATAACGTCCGCCCGGTCCAGCCGCTGAACAACCGCTGCATCCGCACCAATATCAACTTCAGCGTGCAGGGCAAAGACTGCCCTAACAACAGGGTTCAGAAGCTCCAATACCGAGGTAGAAACGATACCTTGATTCATCCCGTTGCCATGTCATTGCCTTCTCTCCATGTCTTGACATTTCTGTTGTCATACAGTTGATAGTATATGTAACGTATCCTCATACAACGGTTCGTATGATATTTAATGAAAAGTTGCTCCTCATTTTTCATATGTTTTTCCACGAAAGTCAGCACTAGATTCAATTGCCGCTCGTTATATGCATACAGTCTTTTCAAAATAAACTTCCGTCCTCACAGGAAACAACTCAGCTAGGTTGAGGCAACAAAACTACTTAGTTAGGTTTAGGAAAAGATTGTCGTTTGTGTTCAAATCCCTATGGAAGTGCCGTTACGGAAGTGCACAAATAACGTCACAAATAAATCAACATAGATTTTTTTCTTATCGCATTGGGAATGAACAGCGACTGAAAGATCGCTGTTTGTTGGACCCATCCACCTCCCCTTCCTCCCGGCCTTTGTGGGCTTTTGCAGGGAGGCTGCAAAGAAGCCAACAAGAACTTTAGTTTGGGTAGCACTTTACGTCGCAACAACAGGGCAATGCTATAGCGTTCTCATGGTAATTACAAGGTAATGTCTGGTAATAACATTGTTGTTTTACACTTTTATTACTTGCTCGTGTCAATGTAAAGTTCAACTAAAGACTGTTCCAACGTGATTGGTCAATAGTACTCAGACTACAAACAGAAGTCCCGATGCTTCCGATACCCAAATCGTGTCCCGTTGCCCTCAGATTCTGCATACGACTGATTCGACATCCACATTTGGATTCCAGAAGATTATTGCTTGACTTACGCCCACTGTTATAACTAATTAAATTAATATCTAATTTAAGTCCAGAGCTGAGACTCAGCTGGTGTCTGACATCGTGTAGACTGCAGATTGATGTGCTAAAGAGAAGGAGGGACAGAAAACAGGCAGCAGAAAGTCAGATGGCTGGACAGTCAGAACACCTGTTTGGCCCCGACTGATGGATCTGGCGGATCTGGGAGGCTGAAAACTGGCTTGTCACAGCTCACTGCAACCCGGGAGGTGTTGCGGCAGTCTGTCATCTCTCCTCCTCTGTTTCAGCCAATATATATCTGGGCAGCTGCCGCACAGAATGCTGAATATCACCCTCGAAGCGTAAATAGGCTACAGGCGAGAGGTAGCCTGAGTCCCTACTAGTCATTGTGTTACTTACCGACACACACCATGATTGCCTTTCTGTCTGCATCTCTCCCTCATTCCCCCCCCCCCTTCATTCTTATTGTGCGCAGCGGTCGTGGGGTAGATGTCAATCCCCCCCCGCCCGCCTCAGACTCTCGTGAGCCTAAAAAACAAATGCCCTCATCACCAGGGAACCTCAGAGCAAAACCCCCAAACCCCACTAAAGCAGACATGCTTATTTATTTGTTCAGAGAGTTAAAGACCTTCAAGATGAAGTGTGGGGGGGGGGGGTCTCATTGAAAGGGAAAATACATCTCTGATTTGTGTAAGTTCAACCTTTGGAGCAGAGGCAACTAGACACATGCCTTCCCTCCCCAGAGAATTGATCTGAAGGGGAAAGAGGGGATGCTTTGGAGCTAATTGTGTGTGTGTGTGTGTGTGTGTGTGTGTGTGTGTGTGTGTGTGTGT